TTGGACCACATTTTAAAAAATCTTAAATTTGAATCAAACTACCTATATGAAACTAATTTAATTACTATTAGAACTAAAATTCCAAATGCAGAGGTGAAAATGAGGATACGGCATCTGTCTTTCACGCGAGAGGCCCGAGTTCAAATCTGGGCTGGGGACTAATTAAATGAAATATTTTTTCAAGTTTATTTTATTTCACAAATTAGTAAAGTCATAAATTATTTTTTCTACGTTCATGCAAAAAACAAAACTTTATTGAACTATATTTAATGAAAAAACTGGTTCTTTATTGCACTAGTGCAATAAAAATTTCATTGCACTCATCTGTCATTTTACTACAGCGTTTTATGATCATGACAAACATAAATATTCAAATCAATGCCAAATATTTAGTCCATTTTTATTTTCTGTGTTACGTTTTAAAAACAATTGCATATTTTATATTATTTTCAATCATTTAATAAGTAAATTAATAATAAAATGTATTTTATTAAAAATGTCATTACAAATTATGAACACAAACGTAAATAAATGCCTCAAAGGTACACGATTACAGCTACTATGATTTGGATAATACAACTGCAGTTCTATAAAACATTCTTTGGTTTTTGCATGAACGTAGAAAAAATATTGTATGCAACTCGTGCAAAAAGTGTTTTTTGTACTCGAAAATTTCACGTCGCGTGCAATAAACACTTACTTTTTGCACTTGTTGCATAAATAACTATTAAAATTAGCTATTTTGTCTTTTCCTAAAATAATACTTTAAATTTGTAGATTTTCGTTTAGTGGGTCGTAGAAAAAAAATACTGTACAACTCCAGTTTGTCCACTGTTGTTGCACAAACTAGTATTAAATGGATTATTATTTAAAAAACGTATTTTTATACAGGGTATTTGTAAATAAGTACGAAAGATTTTTGCAAATTGTTATCAAAGTTATTTTGTTAAAAAAAGTTCCTATAAAAGTAGGTCGAAATATCCTTCGTTTCCGGGATACAGAATGTTTAAATTTTAATTTATTAAATTTTATTAATTATTTCAAATAGTTTTTTTACTCTAAATTTGCAAAAAAACTTTGAAGGGACAAATGTGTATTTTTTGGGGTGTTCCAAATATTTTTACTTGCACCAGTGGCGTTTGTGCGAGAATGTCACTTTTTTTAATAAAAAAATACTGCGCCACTGACTTTTCGGATCTATGTTTTTTTATATATAATAACTTCGGCAAACATAGAAATAGGTACTTTTTAGATATGTTTTCGAAATAATCATAGGAAATACATATGTTTATTTAAAAATATATATCGTAAATAAATTATTTAGTTAGAAAAAAAGAGTTTCGATAATGTTACACCAGGTTATACCTTTAAAAAAATATTTTAAACGAGAAAACAAAACAGAAATACTCTTTGTTAGACCGGACCTGCGATTTATCGGCTTTTTTTATATTTTAAATCATATAAGTAATGAATTGAAGGGAGCGTAAGTCTGGGAATAGAGCAACGTTGCCAAAGTGCGTTCAGATGCACTGAAAGTTGTCAGTGTGTTCTAAACCTGAATTTGCTGTTAGGTGTCGCATGGATATCGCTCTTAAGATACTTGACAACAGATAAACTATAATTTTTGTAAATTTAAGAAACATAAAATTTTAAATAAATTTACTTGTCATTTAAATATAATATACTGACACCATTGATATTGTACACAATCATTGGCCAAATGGAAAGTTGTTACTAGTCACTAGATAAAACAAATTTTTAAAATATGTTTGTGTATAAAATAATTGAGGATAGTTAGCAAAATGAGAATCAAATATAAAAAAAAATATCGGTATAATTTAAAACATATTTTTGAACAAGTAAGTGATGAATCCTAAACTACAATACAAAGAGGTTGCGTGTATTGTGAACCGAAGCCAACCAGTCCAACGTATACCATAGATAAATTAATAAACAAGATAAATCGTTTAAATGCACGGCACTGGTAACAAGTTTTTAGGTGTTAAGTTCATCAGCATACTACTTGGAGCCACCATCGCAATAAGAAGAAAGCGATGTTGCCAGTTTCCATAAACTTTCATAAGATTAGAATTATTTAAACACATTGTTGTTTTTTTTGTCAAGCTCGATACCATCCATACAATGGCATACTATTGCATACTATTGATGGGATATTTTAAAAAGAGGTTTGGCAACCTTCTAAAAATGAAAAACGGAATGGCGTCGGAAGGCGAAATGGGCAAATTACAACAATAAAAGTAAATAAAAGTTATTTTATGATGTAAGTTCGCATAGGTAGGTAAGTTATTTTTAGGTTAAGAAGATTTATGAGTGATGATTTGATGTAATTAGTAAGTATTAACAATTTAATTTAATATTAGGTGTTAGATTTGTTTAAGGACTTTGTTTATCATTGTTTTCTTAGCCTTGACACGAAATATAAGTAATTTCATTTTGAATCTATTTTCAATTCTTTTTTTAATATATTTGTAATAATATCAAAACATGTCTGACCCGGGTAAAGCATCGAAGGGCAAAGCTAAGTATTCTTGTTCAACTCTTAATTGTTTAAATAAGTATTCTAATATTCAGCAAGCTGGTTATTCAAATAAAACTTTTTTTCATTTTCCAAAAATGAAAAGTAATTTTTAAACTCTAATTTGTTATATCAACTAGAACAGATTTGTTTTACAGTTAAAATAAAATTCAAATTAACTATTGAACTATGAGAAATAATTTTTGTTTATAAATTAATTAAAATTAACTTGTACTTATAAGAATTGGCAACATTTTGATAAGAGAAATTGTTCAATAAGGTATGTACACTTTTTTTGTTTTTATAGAAAACGCCCTGAGAAAACACTTAACACATGCATCGAAAATTGGTCCATTTTCCATGAATGAGAGGAGACTACTATTAATTTCACTTACAATTATTGTTATGTAATATCGAGTACATGTTATGTATGTAATAAACGTTTAAATGCACCTTACTTGTATTAAATGATTAAACTATACCTTTTTATGGGCTGTTTGTTTACAAACTCAAAAATGTAAACAATAACAAGCCACAACATTTAATTTAAATGTTTGTGTTTCAAGTATTTTAGTATAAATATTTCTTTATTTATATTTTTTGAAGTTTTATTACTTTAAAAAACTAATATTTATGTTAAATACAATATTTTAATTTAAATATTAGTTTTTTTTTGAGTAATGAATTCCGAAAAAATGTAAATAAATAATAAAGTACATTTGAATGAACCGCGGGAAAAATAGACACTCTTCTTTTTATTTTCTTCTTCTGTGCTGCCTTTAACTGTCAAGCCAATTGTGTAATGTGCGATGGTGGCTCCAAATAGTATGCTGAGGAACTAAACGTGTTACCAGTGCCGTGCATGTAAACGATTTATCTTACATATTAATTTATCTATGACGTATACTGTCCAGATCCCAGAGTCTCCAGGTCAGTGAAAAAAAGTGACAATTTCTGGCTGTGATTCCTAATAATGAGCCCTAAAAGTCAACATAAACATGGTTTCTTTGTGCGAAACTGTATTACAGCAAATAAAATTAAGGGTACTGCAATTTAATACAAAGTGAATTAATAAACTTACATTAATTCAATTGATTTTAAAACTTACATTCTCCATATGCGCAGAATAACTTTCTGTATAACATATTAAAATATGGGCCATATGAAAATAAAAAAAATGAAGTGAATGCTCACAAGCATGAGACGGAAGGAAAAGTAATTGCTTCATTAAGTATGAATAACGATTACCTTGTACTTGAAAGGAAATGCTTCATAAAAACGAGTAAAAACTTATATCTATCATATTGGAGATTTTTGGTTTTTCTAAATATCTCACACAGATTTTCATTGTCTGGACAGGAATAATGCAACAGCACGCCGTACTATGCTTCCGTCTAGAAAGTTTTGAGCTAACCACTCCACATTTTCCTGTTCAAACCGGAACATACTCTTAAAATCACTAGTTCGCAGTGTACGCCGTTCTTTGTAGTGTTTTACGTTTCGAAAATTTAACATTTCAGCGATTTAAACTTGCAACCGCTCAACCGTGTAAACACAGATGAAGGCCGGTCGACGTTGAATTCGCGAAACCTCTAATGAGAACAGTTCTGATGCACTGAATACCAGCATCACTTTTCCGCAAGTAAATGCTCGCAGTTGTAAGCATATGGTTGGTTTCATACGTTTGAAGTAAATCCTTTTATTTTGTAAGCATTTGCTTCCTTTTTTAAGCAAAATGATCTACTTACAATTTTATTCATACCCCTTGAAACATTTACTTTGAATTTTGCAAGTATAGGCAAATGCTTGTTTTTATTCATATGGCTTAATGTTATATTCAGATTAAATAAGAACACCTAAGTAGTTTGACAGACGTTGTTATGGTATGTAAAGTAAAACCACCACCAGTGAAATAGTTGTTAAATTTATATTATTATTTCTAATTTAATTGATGGTATCAATGTTGGTGAATGATAATGAAACAGGCTAGTTAAAATAGAAATTAACATTTGTAATATAATTGATATTTTTTTTTTAAATTATAATGACTATTAAATTTTGAACTAACTCTTGTCCTGAGATAAATCTAATAAATGAAGAAATATATATATAATAATATTACTCTCTATAAAGGATAAAGTCGTTTGGCACTAGGCAATATATTAAATCATATAGGTGTATTCACAGGCTGCCAAAGTAAGTTTTGGGAAAATAAATTAGACAAATATTATTTTTGTTATAATAAATAGTATTGATAATATTATTGAGCTACATCAGGTAAATTACTATCAAAAATATCAAACAATAGCAACAGTTTTAATAATTATTATTTTAAAGTACTTTTTAATTTCCTACAAGGAATAAATTACAAATACTTAATTGGACACACTTCACTTCACATTAAAAGTTAATAATTTTAATTAAGTTTAATAATAACATTTTATGCTCTAACTGATTATTTTGTAATAAAAATATATCTTGAAACGATTAGTTTATTTCGATAAGTAAGTTTAAAAAAAATGTTATTTTTTATAACATATTTTATTTGCTCGACATTATCAGCAACTGACGCAGAATACGAAGATATTCTACCATTTCCACTTTCAGTAAGTTAATTGATTTTATATTGGCACAATATATTTAACTCACTATGTAATTTATTTTCTTTTAAATTTATGTTTTTATTAATCTACAATATATCATTAATAGTTATTGATTATTGCCCATTAATCATTAGATCGACTTTTACCTATCCACTAAAATAAAATATTCTGCTTCACTAGGTGATTACCGGTCAAATCGATCTTTAATTTTTATTTTGTAATACTTAATAATTCTTTCCATTTACCTCTTTTATTGAGACCGTCCTCTTTGACCAATCTTCCTTCCTTCCCTTTTCATTTCCTCTTTCTTCGCGATTATAAGAACTTAGTTTAGAGAATTTGTTGTTAAGATTATGTGTGTTTCTCTGTATTGTTTCTACTTCCACCACATTTAAGAAGATAGATAATTTATTATATTTTTTACTATTATAATGCTAATATTTATCCAAAAGTAATTAAAAAGTTAAAAATATACAAGCCTGGCATAAGTCTAATAGTTCTAAAGCTGGCACTAAAAACAACTACCTCATAAGTTGCCAAAGGTTTGAATTGACATGTCGGTTCTACTTTAGGTTGTTATTTTAAAACCATTTGTCTGCTTGGTCGTCTAATATTTCTAAATTAAAAAAAAAAAATTAAAATCGCTCATAACTATCCAATTATTACCAACATAAATGTTTGTTGAAAATATCCTAAAATTCTAACGGAATTAGGCATTCTAACGACCTTTCCAAATGGCTACCGGTGGGGACTGACAGTATAGATATTGTAAGGGGTTTTCTCGCCACGAATGACGCTGGTTACGGGCGGTTCTCGAGCGCCAGATTTTTGATAATGGTTTACTCCACCAACTTTCGAAACGGCGTCGAAAGTACTCGGGTAGCTACAGATGGAGATGAAAAATTCCAGGGGTCAAAGGTCACTTAGACACAGGTAATAGTAGGCCACAAGTAACGGGCTTTAATCGTTGCTTGGGCTCGTACAGAAATTTATCACTTGCTCAAATATAAGGGGGAAATAAACAAGGGAATTATTAACCAGTAATACGGCACATACAGGGTGTTAAAAAAAAGTGTCACAAAATAAAACAGGGGGTAGTATGGGCCAAAATATGCAGAAAAGTCTTAATAAACATATGTCCGCAAATGAATGGTTTCAGAGATACGGAGTGTTTTATGTTTTGTATCATTTTTTGATTATTTTTTTTCATTCTCAAAAACTTGCTTTTCTTATCGGAGTCCACCGATGTTTTTTCATAGATACTATTTGCAGTTATTATTTTGTTGTGGGTGAATAATTTTATAAATTTTCGTTATGCCTGTTTACACTAATATTGAATTAGCTGACATGCATTTTATTTACGGTCGTTCAAATGGCAATGCGAGGGAAGCGCTACGTCAGTATATCGACGCTTTCCCTAATCGCCACATCCCTTCATTTAACTCTATGTTGTTATTGATTGTTTATAAATATCATTGTTTTTTATAATAATAAAAAATTGTTATAAACACAAAATGGTCCGTATCTCCGAAACCGTTAATTTGCGGTCATATATTTTTTTATACTTTTCTGCTTATTTTGGGTCATACTATTCACCATTTCATTTTGTGACACTTTTTTTTTAACACCCTGTATATTTTAGTTAACTATTTACAATAAAAAGAAAGAAATTAAATATTTCAACGCCCACCCCAGTTGTGGTGATAGTCAATATAACCCTGAATATAAAAAAAAACAAAACGGACGGTATTAATTCGCGACTAGTCTCAATCAGACGTCAAAATTAAATCAAAGTAAAATATATGTCTCGATCGCATAAAAAAAATATTAATTTGGTTATTTACTCGGTAAATAATTGTTTAACCGCGGTATCGGAATTTAAACCCAAATGTAGTTATTTTGCACTTTACGTGAGGAAAAATTAAATAAACGGTCGAAGAGAGTGCGAGGAGACAGGGACGCGAAAGAATCACTTATAGTAAATACACGGAAAGAAAATAAAAATAAATTTATACCCGGGGTAGCCTATTATCCCAGAATGAGCTGATCGTCATCACGAGCCCGCTCAGACAGGGTAATGAAGCTATTTTTGATTTCTATAACTTGAAATTTGCACAAAAAAAATGAAGCATATAAAGCGGAAAAGAAAATTAACGCGGATAGCACCTAATCCAGGAATGAACTAATCGTCATCACGAGTCCGTTCAGACAAGGACAGGACACTATTTAAAATTATTTAAATTGTCGAAAAAAAAAAAGAAAAGTAAATTATTATCGGAGGAAAGAAAATTTACTAACGCGGATAGTACCTACTCCAAGAGTGAACTGATCGTCATCACGAGCCCGTTCAAACAGGACAGGATACTATTTGAAATTATTTAAATTGACGGAAAAAAATAGAAAAAACAAATTATTATCGGAAGGAAGAAAATTTACTAACGCGGATAGTACCTACTCCAAGAGTGAACTGATCGTCATCACGAGCCCGTTCAAACAGGACAGGATACTATTTGAAATTATTTAAATTGACGGAAAAATAGAAAAACAAATTATTATCGGAGGGAAGAAAATTTACTAACCCGGATAGTACCTACTCCAAAAGTGAACTGATCGTCATCACGAGCCCGTTCAAACAGGACAGGATACTATTTAAAATTATTTAAAAATTGCGGTTTACAGATTAAATAAAAAAAAAAAATATAACGCGGATAGCACCTACTCCAAGGGTGAACTGATCGTCATCACGAGCCCGTTCAGACCAGGACAGGATGCTATTTAAGATTATTCAAATGTAAGGTAAAAGAAATAAACAAATTATTAAAAGAGGGAAAACGTCTCCTCGAAAACTCCGTTTATAAATATTCTCAACTTAATTACAACGCGGTGCCTACTAAACAAAAGTATTTATGAATAAAGTCAAATTTAAATCCCGATTTAACTTATTAAAAGAAAATGAATAATTTCTTAAAACCGACTAACAATCAAAAGTCTAAAATCCCCGGTTTTACAATATTACAGAATTAAATCCTATCAATTAATATTTAATTTAAATTATATCCCTTTTTAAAGAAACGGAATATTTGTCAAGAAATAAATTCAAATGTTTTTAACTAAACCCTATTTATAAAAACAAAAGAAACGGTATCATTTTTTAAGAAACAAATTCTATTATTTATTATTTAAATCCAATAAATTATTTTAACTAAACACTATCTATAAAATAAAAATAAAGAAACAGTATCATTTGCCACGAAACAAATTCTATTATTTATTAAAGAAATCAAATTATTTCTTTTAATTAAACACTATCTATAAAAATATTCCTATTCCTACAAACTAATTTGCTATTTAAAATGAAATACGGTCTCAATTTTCAAACGTAAAAAGCGGAACAAGGTTTTTTACCTAACGGATTTGTAAATACAAGAAAACGGAAAAAAAATATCGAAGATGATTTGATATCTAAAGCGGTGTATAGAGTCAACTGCTCGGAATCAAAAATTATATCGGACTGATAATTTTAATAGCATCTCCGCTATCGTTCAAACAAATGTCCCTCTCCCAATCGAAAATCCCACTTACGTTCAAAGCTATCGCGCATCGAGACTTCGAGTGGCGTTCGCGCATCTGAAAATTAGCAGTTCAACCGCGATTAATATTTATTAATAATGAAAAATGAAAATAAATTGATTGAGAAAAATTGACTTCATTACAATATGGCAACCCTATTGTCATGTTGTCATGATAGCTATAGCAATAAAATATAAGTAATGCTAATTAAGTATTTTATAATTAGTTATTTTACAAATACATTTATTTTCAATACAACCACTATATTTATGTTTTATTTGGGAATTCTACTAAAAATTGTATTGTCCGTATATGCAAAATTCGTCCGTTACTTTATAAGTTAATTGACGCTGCTGTCATGCATAGTTTTCTTTAAGAAAAAAACATATGAAAAAAAAATCAAGCTAGTGATATACTAATAATAATGTGTAGAAATAAATACATTAATAATATTAACAAGACCATAAAAAAGAAATATTATTGTACATCTGATTTTATCCAGAGCTGGGATAAACTATTTTAGTTTTATCTTTAATAGACTAAAAATTGGATTTACTCTGTCGCACGATTCCAGATGGCGTAAACCCTTTGTATTTTATCTATTAGTACCTTTCAAAAAGGTGGCATCAAGCTCACATCAAATTTTTTTACATTATCTAATAGATTTCTTCCTTTGGACATATTACCACCACGCTTACCAAGAAACAAATCTAGTCTTGCTTTATTCACACTATTATCAATATGCCTATCATACATCCAGCATATGAGTTTTTCAACTACATACATTTGCTCTTCTACTGAAAATGGCAGAAAGAAGAAAAAATCTTGGTAATATTTAGATCGTTTTCAATAATGTTAGAAGGCTTTATTTTACTTTTTCTAGCAAATAATGCGGTATAATTACTGCCTGTTAAAGCGTGATAGGCAGGTAAAACTTGAAAAAGTATGTGTCCTACATTATTGATGTATATACATATATCTTTAACCTAAATGTATCTTAAAGTATATTTTGACGGAAGTCCATTTTCTATCCAAATATGGTATATATTTTGTTAATTTGTGCATATTTCCCAATGCTATTATTAATATATCAGTATTGGATGCACGTATCACAACATTTGTATTTTCTGGTAGTTTAGATCTATAAAACAGAATTTTATTATCAATTTGATGATGACTAGAATATAAAACCTCATAAATTTTACAATTTACATGTCCATAAATCTCGTAAAATATGTAAAAAATATTTTCACAACTTACTCGAAGAATTTTGTCTCCCAAAATACCCCGAAAAACATTTATTTTCAAGTGTTTCACTAAAAACTGCACGTCAAATCCGTTTTTGAAACTGTAATTTCCCAGTCTTTCAATAAATTCAAAAAATCATTGGGTCGCTTCTGCTTTTCTCCAATAATATTAAGCACATTAACCCTTCCTGATACCCCTACGCTTCTTTATATATTTTGTAATGATTGCACTGCACCCTCATAAAAAATTAGGTCTATTCCTCTGCATAGATTCTTAATGATGTAGATATCCAATCTGCCACAATTAAAAGAAGGATCACGTAAAGATGCAAAAAAAGTATTAAAAAATGTACAATCCATTTGATTTGGAATTAAAGAAGTTAATACACGATTTTGTAATAACTCTTATAATAATTTTGGTTTATCTGTTTCATTGATGTTCCTCTCGAGATGGCTCAGTGACAACGAAACAGTTGTCAAACAGAGTGCGTATTAGGATAGGAACCAAATTTCATCATTTGCTCGAAAAACATTATTGAAAAAGATTTAAATTTTGCCAAAATTTTTGCTTCTTTCGGCCATTTGCAGGATATATCGGAAAAGAAAATTCATGGCATTGAAAAATGTATGATAAGCATAATGTTAATAGCGTGAATAAGGCAAGGCTAAATTTATTTTTTAGGAACGATACCGTGTCCCAAGGAGGATATCCATTAAATAAAGTTAAAAATTTTGATGTGATCCTCTTGTTGCTTCCTTGTCGAAAGATATTAACAAATAAAATTTAATCAAGTTTGCGCCGTCTGGAATTATGAAACCGAGCCTAATCCAATTTGTTTCTTAAAGGACAGGGCTGGCTTTAATTCGATGAAAGATACCAACTGAAATGGTTTGTTTGACCACAAACCCCTTCTACACTTGATGAGATTTGCAAAATCCCAGTTCCGGATATAGATAAAGATGAAGTATTTTACGATGCAAGTAGTGATAAAGATGAACAGTACGAGTACATTAAAATTGCATTTTCATGTTTCTGTTAATATTATTAATTTAGTTATTTCTATTGCATTGTTTGGGAGTTTTATTTCTGCTTCTATTTTTTGTATATTTTTTTACGATAGTAATAATTAGATACTAAGGTTAATTCTAAAAACGATAAATATTTATTTTTAATTAAACAAATATTTATTTTCCTTTTTATTAAGTGTTTAAAAATAAATAATTAATATTAGTATATCACTGGCATGTTTTTTTTTCATATTTTTTTGCGGGATAATTTTACGTCATATATTGTATTAAATTCAAACGTTTGTAGCTTCTGCAAGCGAGAGAGATGGATATAATAGCGACTCATCAATCTCTGAACGTCTAAATTAATTTATACAATGGGTGACAAAAGACAATCGAGCAAAAATAATTTTGAATCGGGAATTGTAATAACATACGTTCAGGTAGAGAAGTATAATACGGTTAAATATGAAAAGGTGTGTCGAATATTATTGCAGATAGATATCAAAATTGGTGTAATAGACTTTATGTAAGAAATGGTCATAATTTATACTATCTTTTGTTTTAAAGGTTATCGAGTTGCCAGATTCCATAATGAATGAGAAGGAGTTTATAGGACATAATTTGGATTTTGAAGTAATTGATCATTGCGTCCATAGTTCTGGAGTGGACGTGGAAACACTAATACATATGATAGAATACATGCGGGTACCAAATGAACATGAAGTGAAAGACTTTCTATTCTGTTTTGCCAGAAACCAAGGGATTCAACATGAAAATGGCGAAATCGAATTCGATATGTTATTTAATTTTTTGATCAGCATAGATATTGGTCACGAATGGAACATTCGTGATCCATTAGAAAACTGCATAGAAAATAATTATGATGGATCTGAAAACGCCTATCTAACTTTAAAATGTATAATGGAGGAATACAGCATACTCAATTTGATACCGACGTGGTGGCATGTTTTTATGAAATATTTCCTTAGAAAATAGTGAACAAACTGATACGTGATGGTGCGGGTGTTAATACAAATTTTAAGAATTCCAAAAGATGTATATGAATTAAATAACAATTAAATAAATAATAGATTCCACAATATTTACAATCACATAATTAACACAAATTTTAACAAAATATACTGATATTAAAATTTAGGAAATTCTCTCATATACTTAAAAATGCTAGTAGTATGTAATCATATCAATAAGTCCTACGTATTAATTTTTATTTTTTTTTTTTTCAATAGGTATACAACGCGAAAGACCAAATTTACTGGACAAGGTAGACACTATAAAGATTACAATGAATACAAATAGAAAAAAATCACAAATACTAAATAAGAACACGAAAAAGGAAAAGACTTCGAGAGGAGAAAACAAAAAAAGTGTTTGTTCATTTTAACCTTTTATACAATAAATATAAAAATGTAGGTTAAAAGAATTTAGAGATTAAGTATAAGAGAATTTTTTTTATGTTTTAGTGTAGGTACTGGTCTTATTATATCCATATCATCCTCAACATATAAGTAGTTATTCTAAATGCTGTATACAGGAGAAGATCTAGATATGTTAGTCCTATCTAAGTAACACACAAATTTATAAAAAGTAGGTATAACTAATAGTCCGGGATGCATATTGATACACGAGTAGAAGGTTTTAACTTAAAACATGATAAAAAATGTATCTGACCTATAATAAGGCGATGTTAATTGTTTCTCAGGGGTTGGGTACTTAAGGGGGATGATTACAATAAAAAAAACTAATCGATTACCTTTTACGTGGCTTTATTTCTGACGAATTCTAGGACCGGGATAGTCTGATTCTCTTCTTTTTATTTTATCCAACATGTGGTAGAAATGAGGTTATGTTACAAAATGAAGTTAAATGTCACAAATATTTTACAAAATTATTGTTTTAAAAGCTGAATAATCTCAATATGGAATATTAAAACGAGGTAATTCTAGATTATTAGTACCGCTATATGTTATAATATTAGATTCAATAATTTTAGATGGACCTTAAAAATATGCATATTTTCCGGTGAACAAAATGTGATTCGTAATCAAATATTTTACAAAAAAAGTATTCCACGCTTAATGCTGGAAATAATCGGACAAATTCAATGTCTTGTTAAGATATGGTAAGTTTATACTATGAACTAATTAGCTTGATAAAAATTTACAACTAAATCTATATGTACAAATTCGAGTAGCCTAATATTTCTCAAAATATATATATCACTCGGTTTCAGGTTTAAATGTCCAATACCACAGTCCGGAATCCCGATTAATAAAGCATAGAATGGTTACCTTGTATAGCAAGTTAGGGGATGAGACTAGGTATACCTCCGGTATGAGACCTGTCGATGATTCTCCGTGGCTAGTGTCTGGATCTGGATCGATCGCAAGGGGTTGAGACTAGGGACGTATGAGACCAGTCAATGATTCCCCATGGATGGACTGGATGAATATGTCTGCGATGGTGACGTTTACAGAGGAATATAACGTCGGAAGTTATGTGCAATTTGGAGAAATAACAGGAAACAAAATATAGAAAAAGAATAAGAAGAAAAAGGCCTGAAAGAGAGAGAAACGTAAGTATCTTTATATATAATTAATAATAAGTTTTAATTTGAAGTACCTTTGATGGGGTGTGGCCTCTAAGAGTAATAAATTATAAATAAACTCCTGATCAAAAGTTTTTGGTAGTTTTTCACTTCGCGAGACTAAATACAACCCTTGGTTGATGAATTTCTATTTAACAGAACAATTCGCAATCTCTTGAATCGAAGAACTTTTGGAAAAATCCACAAAAATGTTGAGTCACTTGTTCTTAACAAGAAGAACAAAATGGCATATTCCCTTTTGATAAGACCCTCCAAATTATTAAATAGTTTGTTAGTTTATTGTCGTAATAATCAGTGAATGTACTTACACACTTAGTGAGTTAGTTACTTAGTTATTATTTGTCAATCTGTTATATTTATTTTATTGTCAATGTCGCTTTCTGTTTATTAAAACCTTAAGCAAGGTTTCGTATTTCATTACAATTGATTGTTTTATAGGAATTTGATGATATGCACTATGGAGATCGATTGTACTAAAAATTCTATACTGAGAGACATGCTGTATAACATCTTCGACTCGAGGGAGTGGGAAAGCATCTAGGAAAGTGAATTTATTAATAGTTCGAGAATAATCAACAACCATTCTCTTTTTATGATTTTCACTACATGTTACTAAGACTTGGGCTCTCCACGGTGAATTACTTTTTTCGATGATACCATCACGAAGTAGTTTTCCGATTTCTTTCTGAATGAATTCCAAATCTTCCTGAGAATGCTTTCGAGATTTTATTGCAATAGGATACCAATTAGGTGATAAGTTTTCAAAAAGGCGTGCCTCAGAAACTTTGGCGGCTGTCAGGCTACAAATACGAAGAGGAGATTTATTACCGCCAAATTACAGTTCCAGTATGGAGTGTTGTTTAAGAATATCATGACCTAGAATCACATCAGAGCATAATTGCTCTAAGATAGACATTTTTATATTTTTATAGGAATGCTCAAATATTTTTATGTTCACCAAACAGTATCCTAGAATTCTTGTTGATAATGATGTGGATGCCATTGATACACTCCCTTCAGAATGAAAAATAGGGATATGTCTAGATTGGACAAACATTAAACTAATAAAACTTTCAGAGCTACCGGTGTCTACTAGTGAGTCAGTAGGTACGTTGTTCACCATTATTTGTATTGTAGATTTAGTTAAGCTAGGATGAAAAGCGGCTAGGACAAGGGAATTTTCAGTTACTGTTGAAGCAGATTGTTTTTGATTCCATTTTCTATTAGAAGATCTACAGACTGAAGCCCAGTGTCCAGCTTTTGAGCATAAGGAACAGGTTGAATTCTTAGCAGGACATTTGTCTCTTTGATGAGCATCTCGGCCACAATAAAAGCATTTACCAGTAACACGACGGTGTACCGCGGATACAAGTTGGGGATTTTCATTTTCAGTACATGTATTCCTAGTGTCTAATGAAGAAGAGGAATTATTTAAAATTGGTACAGAATTTATTTCATAAGAAAATGCATGCAAGTGAGCAGCTTCCATAGATTTTGCTTGATCAATGGCTCCTTGAAGTGTCAAGGTGTGGTTTTCTAATAGCCGTTGTCGAATTACTCCTGATGATAAGCCTCTTATCAATGAGTCTCTAATGAATTCATCTCGGTATACATCAGCGGTTACGCTTTTAAAGGCACAATTCTTACTCAGAGAGTTCAATTCCTGTAGATACTGAGTTATGTTTTCTCCGGGACGCTGTTTACGTATGGCAAGAATATGCCTAGCATATACTTCATTGATTTTCTTAACGTACAAGCCCATCAAGGTACTGATTGCGGAGTCATATGTTAGGCACTCTGATATTAATTTATAGATAGCAGGAGATATATGGTTATTGAGTAGATTTAACATGCTATCTTGTTTTTTGTCTTCTGGAAGCGTGGTGGAGTCTAGGAAATTTTTAAAGGTCTGAAACCAAAGTTTCCATTAATGAAAACAAATCTAAGTTCTCAAGTGACGAAATAAGTCTACTAGGCCATAATATTAAAAATGGTACAATTAGACCTGATCCTGATCGAATTAAACCGCTTCTAGACTTACCAGAACCTCATAACATCCACTCATTACGCAGGGCTATGGGTTTATTCGCCCATTATTCTCAATGGATTTCACGATTTTCAGAAAAGATTCGACCTATAGCACACTGTACTAATTTTCCTTTGACAAATGAAGCCTCCCAAACTTTCAAACTTCTTAAACAAGATGTAGCTGACGCAATTTTAACGACCATTAATAATGACGATATGCTTGTAGTAGAAACAGACGCGTCAGAGTATGCCATAGCTGCAACTTTGACGCAAAACGGAAGACCTGTTGCCTTCTACTCAAGAACACTTTCTGGTAGTGAGAAGGGACATTCGGCGATTGAAAAAGAAGCCTACGCCATAGTAGAAGCTCTAAGAAAGTGGAGGCATTTTCTTTTAGGTAGACAGTTTCAACTAATTACAGATCAGAGGTCTGTGTCATTTATGTTCGACAACAAAAGTCATGGAAAAGTTAAAAATGAAAAAATATTAAGATGGCGCCTTGAACTCTCACCCTTCAAGTACGAAATTATTTACCGTCCGGGATCATTAAACCGGGCTGCAGATACGATGTCTCGAGTTTCCTCTTCTATTAACAACAAAATTGATTTATTTAAACTTCACACTTCATTGTGCCATCCTGGAATTACGAGGATGCACCATTGGGTGAGATCTAAAAACATTCCGGTGAGCTTAAATGAAATTCGAGATATGACAGGATCCTGTCAGATTTGTCTAGAACTAAAACCTCGCTTTTTAAGATCTCTAGGAACCTTAATAAAATCAACCGCTGCATTTGAAAGGCTAAATATCGACTTCAAGGGCCCGCTTCCGACTTGTACTGGTAAACCGTACATGCTGACTGTAGTGGATGAATTCTCTAGGTTTCCCTTTGTTTTTCCATGTATCAGCACAGCTTCATCTGAAGTAATCAAGCATTTGAGAGAATTATTCTTCATCTTCGGTACTCCCTCTTATATACATTCTGACAACGGTACATCTTTCATTTCTCATGAACTCAAATCATACTTAGATGCTCAAGGTATTGCCACTAGTAGATCTACTCCTTACAATCCTCAAGGCAATGGACAAGTAGAACGGTATAACGGCATCATCTGGAAAACAATTAATCTTGCACTCCGGTCAAATGGACTGAAATTGAGCCAATGGGAGAGAGTACTACCAGAAGCGCTTCATTCGATTTTCTCATTACTATGCACGGCCACCAATGCAACTCCTCATGAAAGAATGTTCAACCACCCCCGACGTTCTAACAGTGGAGTATCTCTCCCTACGTGGTTAACATCACCTGGACCTGTTCTACTTCGTAAATTTAATAGGACCAATAAATATGAGCCCTTAGTCGAAGAGGTAGATCTCATTGAAGCAAACCCCCACTATGCTCGAGTTCAACTCCCTGACGGTAGAGAAACTACCATATCGCTAAGACATCTGGCCCCTTCATCTAGCCAACCTATTCACAATTCTGAGGATCCTAGTTCTTCTTAATTACATGAAGATATGTGTTCCCCTTCCAGTCCTGAACATTCTTGCCAGTTGCGAAATAATAATATATATCAAGAGAATGAAGAGAAAAATGAGGAACATATTGTTGAAACTCAACAGAATTGTGAGCCTCATCAGATAAATCCTGAGTTAAGAAGATCAACGCGATTAAGAAAAGCCCCAACCTTTCTAAATGATTATGTAAGATTTTAAAGGTGGGAAGAATGTCGTAATAATCAGTGAATGTACTTACACACTTAGTGAGTTAGTTACTTAGTTATTA